TGTCTTTATGTTGTTTGTACATTAATTTGAAGATTGAATGTGAAATAATTGCAATATAAAAGTATATTTAAATTTTTTTATGTTAGGTGGAATTCATCGCGATTAACTTCAGAAAAATGTGCGATTTAATTCTGGGTTTTTTTTTTTCCGATTGACAGCACTAATATTTATATAATTTATATTATATATAAACATATGTAATATACAAATATAATATATTTTTCTTAAATATATACATGCATGTGTGTGTATTTATATATACATAATAAATATACAAAGCACACACACATATATTACGTAAACAAAAACTTTTATTTTGGATGTGATTAATCGCGATTAATCGTTTGACAGCACTAATCAAAACCCAGAGGAAATTACAGAAGGAATCAATGGCTCAAAAATGCAAATTTTCTGCTAATTGCTAATTTTCTAAATATATTATGCGGTTTAAAATGTAGGACTACAAACTGAACAGCTCTGTTATGTATTCGATTAAATGATCAGACAAAAGACTGCCAGACAATCAGATTTCATAACGAAAAAACAAGAAACCTTACCTCATTTTCTTTGATCTCATACTTGGACGAATGCTTCCCTTGACTTTTTCTGCGCAGTTTCTTCAGGTCGGCCTGTGATTTGTCCAAAAAGTCTTGCTTCAATTTGTGTTCTGACTGGTATCTTTTGAAAGTGGCCTAGAGGGATTGTAATACCACAACGTTCATGAGATGTCCCTGCTTGCACAGGTGAAGGAATGGGAAGTGTTGCTTGATTGACGAAGAGAAAAACATGCAATACTTACATTCATGTACTTGATATCCATATCTGTTTTCCTTTCCAGTTCAGTGATGAGCTCTCTGTGGAACCTCTTGAACTGTAGCAACAAGGTTAATGGAGATAAATCACCACAGAGCGATAACAATCAATAATGGTGAAATTGCATTAAGTCACCATATAATTCCACAACAATGATAACATTATGTAGAGAAGTCGAACAAAAGGGTTATCTTATCAGCTTAGGTAGTTAAATATTCATAACACTGTGAGTCTGAACACCCAAGATCATCTGATTAAAAAATGGTTTGGGAGGAAGAAATGCTCTGAAACTCAAGAGAGCAGAGGGTCAGCCCTTAATACAGTCACATACCTCAGATAAGTTCAGCACACACACTATCCCAAAGGCAAAATATTATTGTATGATTTATAAATGTCAACGTTTAAGTTTAAAGATCAAGTGACTACAAAAATGTTTGAAGTTACAATTACACATTAATTTCATGTCCTAAAATGTTTCCTCAATAGCACTGCCTGCCACAGTTCTGCTCATTGGTTTAAATATTCCTTGAAGATGTTTATTTCATAAAAGTTGCATTTTATATTTTTAGCACTGCTCTAATGACACTACTTTACATATTTATACACTACCTTACAAACATTTGGGGTCAGTCATTTTTTAAATGTTTTTGAAAGTATTCTCTTATGCTCACCAAGGCTGCATTTTTTGATCAGAAATACAGTAAAAATAGTACTACTGTGAAATGCAGATTTACTCTATTTAAAATAAGTTTTTTATTTTAAAGGGGTCACGAACTAAGAAATAAAATTTTCCCTGATCTTTTGACATGTAAGAGGTTATTGTACTATAGAAACATCCTGTAAGTTTCAAAACTTCCTCATTGGTCCAAGAACAGCTTTTACTGAAACCAAGGTGCCAAAATGAAGTGTTTCGGATTTTGTCTCAGTATGACGTAAGTGTGATGAAAGACTGGCCCTACAGAATCAGACCAACACGTACTTCTACATTATTGCATCTTTGGCCCCGTCCACTGGCACATTAGTGAGATGAGATTGAGAGAACAGAGCTACAGGGTCACTAGACTAAAAATAACATTGCCTTCCAACGGATCCTAATGCTAGTAAAGTGGCTATTTATTACATTTCACGTGCTATTAACAACAATTTTCACTATAAGTTAATCTCAGCAGTTGTAACTGTAAAAACATAGTAAACATTTTCCACATGTAATATTTTATATGCAAAGATGTTACCCAGTTAACAATAGCATATCAATAACAATAGCAATATCAATAGCAGTGGGAGTTTACATGAAGTCTTCAAGGAGAATTCCCCTTTTAAATGGAGCTTTAAATAAGAGGGCTAAAATCAGACTAGAATTTATTTTCAAATTACTATTCTAAATTAGTAGAGTTTATTTCTAAATTACAACAATTTACGTAAAAATCAAAACATTTCTTATTATTATCATCAATGTTGGAAGAAATCATATATTTGAAATATATTTTTTATAACATTATAAATGTCTTTACTGTCACTTTCAACCAATTTATTGCATCCGTTGATTAAAATATTAATTTATTTAAAAAAAAATCTTATTGACCCCAATATAGTGAATATATTCCATAAGGCATATTAGAGTTTATTTCTAAATTACAACAATTTACGTAAAAATCAAAACATTTCTTATTATTATCATCAATGTTGGAAGAAATCATATATTTGAAATATATTTTTTATAACATTATAAATGTCTTTACTGTCACTTTTAACCAATTTATTGCATCCGTTGATTAAAATATTAATTTATTTTAAAAAAAATCTTATTGACCCCAATATAGTGAATATATTCCATAAGGCATATTATTATTAGTAGTAGCTGTATCAGTATTGTTATTAATATAATAATAATAATAATTTTGAATTGAAGGAAATTTTCTTGTTCAAAAAAAAAAATCACAAAAGGATCCAAGATGTTACTGATACTCGAGAAGGTAACGAATTACATGAAGAACCAAGGGTATTAAAACTACATAGAATTATCCAGGAACATACTGAATACCTATTAATATCTACAGCTTCTTCTGGAGTTAGAGAGGAATATGTAGGCCTGTCACGATAACAACTTTTTGTTGTGCGATATATTGCCCCAGAAATAATTGCGATAAGCGATATTATTGTCATTTTAAAGACCATTTTATGCCACTGAATATATAATCATAATGTAACAGCATAATAATGCAAGAAGGCCTACACACTTCCAAATGACAACAAACTTTAAATTTTTAAGAATATTTAGATCATGGAAATTAAGTATTAAAAAATATTATACCTTAAAAAAAACCTGAATAAACAGTAAATAAACATTTTCTAACAAAAAGTGCAAACAAGTACAAAAAAAGATAAATGCACAAAGAACTTGTATGGAGATTCTTTCATCTACAGATTTTTCCCAGACCTTCTTTTCTCTATAAAATAAGGGTGCACACTATTGCTGAAAAACACAATCACTTCTTA